GATCTTTCCAAGATGAAGAATTTACTGACCAAATACATCTTTTATTTTTTTTCCCAAACACTTTCTTTAAACAATCGATTGTCGTATGTGTGCCCATTATCCTTCAATATGTACAGCAGATGAAAATGTTGGGTTAGAGGTCCTCTGATTGTCTATGAACAGATAACAGGACATTGCTGTGGATTATCTTTACAGCGGCAGTGTGAGCATGAATTTTTTACATTACTTTGCATGCGTTTGCATTTATTTCACTAAGCACACATCTGTAGGAAGTTGCTGCAAAGATGCCCCCATTGTCAACAGGGATGGTTTGCATGTTGTGACTATCATAAAAGCCGAATTCCTGGCGCATATACAAAATAAAAAAAAAATATTCTGCTCTTTATTAAGGTACACATGAAGCCAAACTTTTTTTCCATTGCGAATAGAGTAGAGGGTTTCCCCCCCGTCAGAGTCTCTTTAGGCCTGTCACACTAGACTGTGCGTTCCGGCCCGATTTTTGACAGAACGCACTGCATCACGTCCGGCTCACTATGTTGTGGGGTGGTCTATTGAAGTGAATGGCACTGTAGCCACGCCCTCTGGCCGCAAGGCACATTATGTCTGCGGTCCAAACAAAATAGTGTTTGCAGCATTTTGTTCGGGCCGGACCGCAGACATAATGTACCTTGCAGTCCCGTGCGGCCAGAGGGCGTGGCTACGGTGCCATTCACATCAATGGACCGCCACGCCCCCTCCTGCCCAACAACATAGTGAGCCGGCCGCAATGCGATGTAGTGCATTCTGGCCAGAATCCGGCCGGCACGCACTGTATCTGGTGTGAACGAGTCCTTAGGGAGATTTCATTTAGTCCGACAGGAAGTGAGAGTTGATCTTTTCAATGTATGGGAAATTTTCTGTTAGATGGTTGTCACAGGTGTCCCCATTGGAAGATATCCCCTCCATTCTTGTTCTGGTGGCAACTTAAAAGTTTGGATTCACCTTAATCCCGCCCCCCACCAGTGACGCAGGTGATCCAGACAATTAGAATGAATCTCCATATCATGGACAAGGCAGCAATAAAAACTTGACGGGTTCAAAGCCCTTACACCGCTATTCAGATCTTTGCCTTTAGTTATACATTATAAAAATTATATTTTTCATTTCAAGCAGTGTAAGTACCTTCATATTGGTGTCACCCTCTTGTATTACTGAACTGCAGCAGAGAAAAATTGGATCTCCTGCCCGACGCAGGTTTTGAGTGACAGGGAGATGAGCTGATCAGTGTGCCGCTTCTCTTTTCACTGTCCAGTAGGGTTGAGCTCAGGTTCTGGCTAAACCCGGCCCAAGCCTGAGTGCTAAAAACAGAGGGGAGGCTCCCCCTGCTGCAGCCAGGGAATTCCCCACCTGCTGCTAAGCAATGGGGCAGGATGATGTGACATCATTGACCTTATGTGGCCACACTCGGGTTATGACATTGACCTAAGATGACTGTGGCCATATAAGTTCAATGATGGCAGCACAAGCCTCCCACCCCTTTGTTTATGCGCTGCTGCAGGGCTGGGTATGCCCTGGCTAAAGCTGATTGGGTGGGTGGCCACAAGTAGCTTCTGGGATTGGAGCTCAGGTTCGATCCACACCTGAGGTCATCCCTACTGTCCAGTAACAGGCTAGGGGCGGGGACCTGTAAATGTATGTATTATATTTTATCTGGGTAGTTTGCCGCTGAAGTAAACTTAAGCTGACCATACACTATGAAAATTTGCACAGTGGGTGCCGCTGTCGGCAAACTTTTGGCCAGCATCCCCTGAGCAGCTGATCGAAGGAGCCAGTTGGAACGAACAGCCAAAGGCCACCATCAGCATACAATAAGGACAGCAGGAGATTCCTCGATCAGCGCTCGTAAGCGTTGGAGGAATCGGTTATATTTTCTTTGCTCAGCCCGCAGGATGAAAAAAGAAAATATTACAGTGTAGGGGCGGCCATTATACTGCCTCTAGGAAGGGAAAGTAGCAGCATACAGGTATCTGCACATAATTGTCTAGTTGCTGAGGACCCTGGAATATGGCCCTGGATCTTCCCACCCCTCCCTATTGGTCCATAAACCCCTGGTGAAGATCAGGACTAACTGAACTATGGGAGTGAGGGACAAGCAATGGTCTGAGTGTTTGCCCAGTAGACCTTCCTATTTTCCTTCTTATCCAGAAATCCTTCTGTGCGCTCCTCTGATCCAAGTTTCACTTTATAATTAGGGACTCAAATCTCCCACCTCTTAACTTTGCCATTAAGGCCGGCTCACCCAAAACACATCCAAAAAGAGACCAATCAAGGCCCTCTCATTGGACAGAGGGTTATTGGTGGAATGATGCTCAGAGCCATGGCTTAGACCCAAAGACCAGAAACTCAAGTCCTATGTAACAAAACAGACCTAAGAACAGAAGGGAGAAAAGAGAAGTAACATTAGTGATTCTTGCTCTTGGGACGGAACTTTAAGGTTTTGCTTCAAAAAAAGAGCTGATGGTGGGAATGACTGCTGAAATGAGACAAAAGGAGCCGAGCAGGGTTGTTTCTGCACTCTTCTTGAACGGAAGCTGAAAATGTGTGACCTTTCATGCAGTGTTAATGGTCGGGGTGACATTTAGGCAGATCAGACATGTTTCCGGAGGCGGAGTTGAGACTCTCTAGAGGAAATAATTGTACCATCACAGACAGATGATTCAATCTACAACTACCAATAATGAAACTGCAGATATTTTACAGACAAGCTGTAGCAGAGGGACAGGCTTTGTCACCTTGGCAAGATTATTTTGGGCATAGGCATCTCAGCACACAAATTTTAGGAAAACTTTTAGGTAGATACTGGAGAACTACGTGTGTGTGTGTGTGTGTGTGTGTGTGTGTGTGTGTGTGTGTGTGTACGTACATACATACGTGCGTGTACGTACATGTGTTGGCAACTTTAGCTACAGTGGGTCAGGTACAGGTTTACTTAAAGAAGAATTTTTAAAAAATTCACCCTCGCAGTGGGTCCACCCCCTACACTGCAAGCGTTAACTGTTCATTGTTCTCTAGGGGAGGAAATAAAGAAGAAAAAATACTCACCTGTGACCACTCACCTCTCTCACATTCGACTCAGGCTGTGGTATGTCCTTCAGCATCCTCACCTATAAAGCTGGCCACACACCTATATATTATCTGCACATTTTCTATGGTCAGATGGATAAAGTGCAACAGATTCTTCCATCTATGCTAAACTGTGTGGATGGAGGAATCTTCCACTGGGACAAGCTTCAGTATCTTGCTAGTCAGCACGCTGGCTGTAAAAATACCTGAACAATGCCTGCATCCAATCAGATTGTTCAGGTGTTTTGAGAGCCAGCAGGACCGCCTAGCAAGGTACTGAAGCTTGGCCCAGTGGGAGGTTCCTCCATCCACACAGTTTAGCGTAGATGGAGGAATCTGTTACACTTTCCCCATCTGACCATAGAAAATCTGCAGATAATTGTACGGTGTATAGCCAGCTTAATAGGCTTATATTAGATGTGATGACGTTACAGGTCCTTAAACTGCGGGAGCCAAACTGATCATTCATTTGACCCCATCAACTAGTAGAAAATTGAACGAATATGCCAAATAAGACGGTTTTGGACGTGTATCCCTAGCTTTTGTTTATATCGCCTCATTACCAGCTTCCATTTGCCTAAATATAATGGAACACTAATTGTGGTATCTATGGATTATAAATACTGATGTAGAGAATGTCACACCACCGATTGAAGCAGTATGGCACATGTGGCCAACTCTTCACCCAAAAGCGGTGTATTCATCTCCTCTTCCACGACAACTCATAATGCCACTGAGCAGACACAACAAGTGCTTTAAAGAAGAGGTTTTGGGTGTAGGAGTCTCAGCATAGAAATTATTAGCACTACTACTACTACTACTAGGGGTGACTTCTGATCAACCGAAAAAACACATTTATTGGGGCAAGGCACAATCTGGTTAAACATAAAAGCTGGAACTGGTTCAGGGCACAGGGCCTGGTGTTCATCCTTTGCATCGGTCTACCCCACCAGCTAAACCCCTTTTATTGCTGGTGTCCTTATTTTCTAGAGAACCCCGAGCATGGGGAACTAGAAGCCAGCGTGTTCTCTGGTGCTGGTGCTGGCCCCGGCCCTCAGCAGCTACATTCACTTAATGGGATGTGATGTGATGTGATGTGATGTGATGTGATGTGATGTGATGTGATGTGATGAGCAGGTTTGCATGGCACAGAACTATGTAGCAAAAGGCTGCAGTCCCCGCCTTAGGGCATCTAAGACATTTGCAGTTTCATCTGATTTAATTAGACTTTTCTTTTTTATAAACCTTGAGTTAAAAGGTCAAGTGGGTAACATTGTACACCTCTAGCCAAAAAAAAAACATTTAGTGCATTAATATATTCTTTACAGAACCATGAAATGCAGGTTTAAATAAAGCTAGTATACGTTTCTGGCTTTGTACTTCCATTAGCTTCCCTTTGACTTTTCCAATAGTACTGTTATAGGGAGGGGCTTGGCTACACACTGAACTAAATCAGGGCTCTACTGCTCTGCCACGAGCCTTCAGTTTATTATCATGAACATGCATATATGAGGTCGAGAGCACACAGGTGACCTCATTAGTTGGCAGCTGCTCCTTCATTGTCCAATCAGCACCATAGGTCACAGACGACTTGACTATGCTGTTTGTATTTGGATCACATGACTGGCCAAACAGCATTTCATATCCTTTTGATAAACCAGTTCACGTGTATTTATTTAGCGGTTTGCCTAAATGAAATACTGGAAAGTAATAACAGTTGTTTCCTTAGAGTTGGATCCACGTCATAAAATGGATTTGTTATAAAGAAGAACTCTTCATCTCGTTGTCCTTCCCATGTCATTGCCACCATCTCCAGCCTGGAAAGGTCCACATAAAGCCTTTTAGACCACAGGTGTCACGTTTGGAATTATGCGCCGCAGTCGGGGTGACGCATGACAATAAAACATCAAAAAATATATATATATTTGTAGGGAAAATTGTTCGGTCTTAAAACCCCCAAAACTTATGTTCCAAATTTCTTCTGTTTCATGGGAGGCGGCAGCTGCGCCTCAATGTCACCGAGCGTTCTTTCCACCACAACCAACTCGCCCTTATCCAACAAGTCCATGAACATCAGCGGCTGCAAGGGGTCCGAGAATTCACCAGGAGGGGGACAGAGCATCAGAGAGAAGGAAACAAAATGGAATAATATGAGGTTATTTTCACTATTGGATAGCGAGAATGTGCAGTGATCACTTTTATTAAACATCATTTAGAATACTGAGGCCAGTGCCGAGGACATCACTTACAAAAACATATTGATTAGAGCAAATCTAGAGACGGGCAACAAAAAAATAGTGACGGTTGGACAGATAAAAAAATATTAGCAGAGGCTTAAATGTACAGCTCCGAGGAAAACAGGGGCCATGATTGAAACCTTTAAAAAGGAGAACTATGGGGTCAGGGCTTTTCCCCATAGTTCTCCTAAGGGTAACGGGAGGACAAAAAATAGCGTCTTCCCGTCACCCAAAGCTCCGTATACCACAAGCTACAGCTTGTGGTATACTGAGACGCCGCAGCCTAGACGGATCCCGACTTTACTTTCGAGAGCCACCCAGCTGTGCGATTGACAGCTGGCTCTGCCTATCAAGTCAGCACTGGAGGATCGGACAGGGGGGGGGGAGAATCCCTGCAGGGAGCCGTGAGTGACAGCCAAGGCTCTCTGCAGGGATAGATCGAGAAGTGAGCAAGCGACGGTATGTGTTCTCATTGTCACTGGTCGGCTAGAACTATGAGGCTGAGTGATTTTCACTCGCCTCATAGTTCTCCTTTAAATATAGTAAAGTACCACTGAAGCCAGGAGGACCTTTTGAACATGAAGTAGAGCTCAAGAAAGCGGGGACATGACCCCAAACTAGAAGTAGGAAAATAAATCAAAGCTGTCCTTACGAAGTGTAATTTTACCAAAAGTGTAGTGGATGTGTGGGATCAGACTTCCAGCAGAAGTAGGAAGTCAAACAACAGTAACTGCAATTCTATGTGCTTGGGATAAACATAGACCTATATTCCAACAAAAAGATTTAAAAAAAGCAGACTCAATGGATCACTTGGTCTTTTTTTGCCGCTGCTCTATATACAAACATTGCATACCCCAACATCCATGGAAAACGGATGTTTTAGTTTTTGATACATGCTGGAGATATGCATGTCAAGTCAAAACCTTTATTTTGTTAAGTGTTTGATACAGTGGGGACGAAAAAGGACACTTGTTTTTTTTTTGCACATCTGTTCTTGTACCTCCTTTGGGTGCCCTCTTCATATGGGGCTTTAAGCTGTGGCTTGGGATTTCTGTGGCAAGAACCCCAGTTGTGCCTATACGAACAGGGCCGGCCTTAGGGGTGTGCGAGCAGTGCGGCCGCACAGGGCGCCATGGCAACAAGGGCGCTGTGCGGCCTACACAGCTCGTCCTGGGGAAATGTGGCCACTGTTTCCCTTCAAGTTAATGACAGGCTGGCAGCGGCCACATTGCTCAACAGCGGACACATCTAATCATAAAATGGTACAATTACATGTAGTTCAGGATAGAAGATTGTCCCTGGGTGCAGTCCATACTAGAAGTCACCAGCACTCGATGATATGTGCAAGAAGTAAAGCATTTTTTATTAAATCGTCACATGCGTCAAACAGCCAAGTTTCGGGGCCACGCAGGGTACCTTCTTCTGGGCGACATAGTGACAATTGAGGCAATGAAGACACAATGCATCCAGGGACAATCATCTATCCGGAATCACGTGTAATTGCACCATTTATGATGACATGCGGACAGCCACTGACAGATGCGGCCACTGTCACCCGGTCATTAACTTGAACGGGTACAGTGGCGGCATTTGAACGGATTCGCATGATATTCCTGCTGCAAGATGTCTTGGTTCTTGTGGTAGAAACCCGCAGTCGCAGTGTGAATTTAGCCTTACTTCGTTTATACCGACTCATTTACAGCTTCCATTTGCCTGATGATAACAGAACACTAATTTCAGTGTCCAAAGATTACTAGTACTGGTGTAGAGAATGTCACACCGCCGATTGAAGCCGTATGGCACATGTGGCCAACTCTTCACCCAAAAGCGGTGCATTCATCTCCTCTTCCACGACAACTCATAATGCCACTGAGCAGACACAACAAGTGCTTTAAAGAAGAGGTGCCCTGTCAGATTTTTACTGCTATCCGAGGCTTAGTTAAAGTGACACTAAACTCAGGAGTTAAATCTTAAAAATACATTCAAGTACCCTAACTATTAACAAAAATGTATCTTATCTGAGTATCACTCAGCTGTAGATCCTCCAATCATTTCTGAATTGGTGCCGACACTAGTGAGAGACCGTGGGGAACGACCGTGGGGAACAAAAGTAGCCACCCTCCAGAAGGAAGGACAGCGTCAGCACCAATTTAGAGATGATTGGACTGTACAAATAAGATATATCTTTGATAATGGTTAAGGTACCTGAATGTATTTCTAAGATTTAACTACTGAGTTTAGTGTCACTTTAAAGAGATTTCTAATCCTTCTCCGCTCTATCCAAAACTAAAAGAAAAAGAATTTGACTGAACATAAACTTTATAATCAGCTGTCAGTCTAGTATCCCAGAGCACTCCAGTGATGAGATCTCTCACTGTTAGGATCTGTCAGACATTTACCTTATTTTATTATTTAAAGAATGTAAAACCTTATTTTTTATTTAACTCTTAGTTGAATCAGTCCTAATTTACTATATTTTCCCCTTAACTATTATTTTACTGCCGATATTTTTTTCTTTTTCCCAACCACTGATATTTAAACATTTTTTCAGCTTATATTTGTTTTGTTCATTAAATTTTCTTGCATTAAAAAAGAAGTGCAAAATTAAAAAGGAAAAAAAAAACTAAAAAACTAAAAAAAAACCCGAACTGAAGTTAAAATTGTTTTACAACAAAACATATTTTTAAAAAAACACTTTTTTTCAATGATTTGCTTTAGATAAAAAGTTTACATTTTATTCTATAATTTGTCCCATTTAGCATGACACTACAATGATGATCCTGGTACAAAGCATTGCAAAGTAATAACCTCCAAAACATGGCCTTTTTTATCCTAAAAAACAATATGTGTATTACTTTGTTGTTATCTTAAGTAATAAATCAATAATCCCATAGCAGTAATGTAAAAATTGCTCTGCTCCATAGGGGGGTGTAATGCAGGGACACTAAATATAATATTATATATTATTATAATATATATTATATAATATATAATCCAGCAACTTCTGTAATATATGCAAAAATAAAACAAGAAAAAAAAATAGCATTGTGGACACAAAGGGGTCTATTTTATGAACAATTTGCAGAGCCATTCTTCCTACTAATTTCTCTGAACGTTCGTTCTGTACAAATAAGAGGCAAAAATGAATGGTATCATCATATTTTCTTTCCAGGTTGAAAGTAATATTCAGAATACACTGAGTGGCCAGATTATTATGACCACCCCATCAGTACTTCATTGGGCCACCTTTTGCCTTCAATACTGCGGCGATTCTTCTTGGCATTGACTCCACAAGATGGTGAAAGGTGATGCGAGGAATCTGACACTGCACTGTTGCACTTCTGTTGTCTTGTACCAGTCTTGCCACTCTCTGTTCTGCCCTAACATTGACTAGTCGCTGACGGCCACAATTCGCATGTTCAGACCCAGATTTTCGGCTGACAGTCCAGTCTTTAAACACTTTAACAACAGCTGCTCTTGAACATTTAACGAATTCTGCTGTTTTGCTGATACTCGCTCCATGGCTCCGAGCGCCAACAATCATCCCACGCTCAAAGGCTGTTAAATCGCGTTGTTTACCCATATCTTCAGAAACAAATCACTTCTACTGTTGTGGTAAACAACCTGCTTCCCTGTTTATAATGGTCTGGCCCTCTAGCAACTTCAGCGCAAAATTATAGCTAATTTGCCTACAAACGTCAGGTGGTCATGATAATCTGGCCACTCAGTGTATAATGTATTACAGCCAATAGATGGAGCTGAGGAACATAGGAAATAAGTGTTTATGTTCTTCGGGCTCCATCTAGTGGTCATAATATGGTATTTTCCAAAAATTACATTCAACCTGAAAAGAAAATATAAAAATAGTTTTTGCTTCTACTGACACAGAAAGAACCGTCACAGAGATTTGTTGGGCAAATTGCTCTGCAAATTGTTTCTAAAAAAAAAAAAAAAAGACCCCAAAGTGTGCAAAGTGCCTAAATAGATAAGATCCTACCTGATATTTTCTTGTTATTTTAAAAGCATGTGCCTGGCTTATCCGCACATCGGCTGAGAGTTGTCTCAGTGTCCTCTGGTTGACTAGGACGGTCTCGTCATCTGGAAGTGGCTGTGGAAAGAACAAAACACGTGTAATGTGGTACTGCTATAGGCGTTGCCAGCACTTGTGCAAGGCAACCGGCAGATCATTATTCGCCATTATGGGCAGATGCCAAAACAGAGGCTGACAGTCCTACTGCAAATTGAGCAGCTGAAAAACAGTGCTGACATCCCTCCACGGGAAATGAGGACGCTTTACTAGCAGGATCAAGAGGTAAAAACTTGGGAAAGTGTAGAACACCAACATTTAAAAACGGCAAAAAAACAGGGTATTGCTTTATTGTGAATGGGAGCACAACATCCTCTACTATGCAGTAGCCTAGAGTAGCCAATGCTTAAAACCCATGTCAGGTTTCCTTTGCCATCTGCTGCATTGGGGAGATTTCCCTTGACCTGTCCCAAGGACACAACAGGAAATGAGAGAAAACTAGAGGTGCACCGAAATGAACATTTTAAAACCGGAACGAAACCAAAATGAAAAAAAAAAAAAAGTCAGGCCGAAACCGATACCGAAAATGTTTTTTTTTTTAACGCTTTAAAAATATTTAATTTATCTATTTTTTATAAACGTAATTTTTTTAAATATTTTTATTTTTTACTTTACACCCCTAATATTTCCCCAGAGCCCCTAAAAGTAAACAGACCCCTGATATTTCCCTTTTAAAAAAGAAAAAGAGATTGAGGACACAGAGTCCTCAATCTCTTTTTCTGTGTCCCCTGTTATCAATGAACAGGAATCCTCTATGAGTGTTCCTGTTCATTCATAACATGAGGACAGAGTATGATTACTATAACCACAATCATGAATGAACAGGAGGTGATGTAGATCTCTCCCATTCATTCATAATTGAGGATATAGTAACCATACTATGTCCTCAATTATTTACAAACACTCAGCTATCACTGATCACCGACTGCTTGTACCCGCTCTCCTTCCTGACACGCTGTCACAGGAGGCTGGGCGAGCGGTGTGGGGAGGAGAGCTCAGCCTCCTGTGACAGCGCTGGCTGTCTCCGCCCACACTGCTCTCCTCTGACCCATGACAGGAGGCTGATCGGTGTGGGAGGAGAGACGCCGGCCGCTCTCAGCGTTTCTCAGAGCAGAGCCCAGCGGGGAGGGAAAAAAGCACGGATGCACCGCTGTATCGGCAGTAAAATGGCACTTTCGGCATTTAGCCAAAAGTGCCATTTTCAGCCAATATATCTGTGCACCCCTAGAGAAAACCTCTCTAAAGCAAGAAAAATCCCCTTATAGATGGTGGTCACTGAACACAAGTGTTCCCACCGTAACAGTTTCCCCTCGCTTCCTGTTCTTGGATTTTCTCTTCCCCTCAGTCCTTTCGACAGTTGTCACCAGGACAAAGAGAGCATGAATCTCTCCAGTGGGGGACATTTACAGCTTTCATTACAAGTACTGATGTAGAGAGTGTCACACCGCCGATTGAAGCAGTATGGCACATGTGGCCAACTCTTCACCCAAAAGCGGTGCATTCATCTCCTCTTCCACGACAACTCACAATGCCACTGAGCAGACACAACAAGTGCTTTAAAGAAGAGGTTTTGGGAGCAGGAATCTCAGCATAGAAATTATTAGCACAACTACTACTAGGGGTGACTTCTGATCAACCGAAAAAACACATTTATTGGGGAGGAGGACAAGTTCTCTTTAAAGGCACAATCTGGTTAAACATAAAAGCTGGAACTGGTTCAGGGCACAGGGCCTGGTGTTCATCCTTTGCATTGGTCTACCCCACCAGCTAAACCCCTTTCATTGCTGATTTCCTTATTTTCTAGAGAACCCCGAGCATGGGGAAATAGAAGCCAGAGTGTTCTCTGGTGCTGGCTCCGCCCTCAGCAGCTACATTCACACTCACACTCAATTGTACAAATCTAACCAGACCAAAAAAAACAAACATTTAGTGCAGTCATATATCATGAATGATCGGGAGGTGATGTAGATCTCTCCCATTCATTCATAATTGAGGATATAGTAACCATACTATGTCCTGAATTATTTACAAAAACTCAGCAATCACTGATCCCTGACTGCTTGTACCCGCTCTCCTCTCTGACACGCTGTCACAGGAGGCTGGGCAAGCGGTGTGGGGAGGAGAGCTCAGCCTGCTGTGACAGCGTGTCATATATTCATATATGTCATATATTCTTTATTTTTATCCGAGGCTTAGTCAAAGTGACACTAAACTCAGGAATTAAATCTTAAAAATACATTCAAGTACCTTTACTTTAGAACAAAAATGTATCTTATTTGTGTATCACTCGGCTGTAGATCCTTCAACCATCTCTGAATTGGTGCTGACACTGTCCTTTCTGCTGGAGGGTGGCTACTCTGTGTGTGATGTAAAGTAGTCACCGCTCCAACCTCACTCCTGTGATGGACTACAATCTCATGTTTAGTTTACTCTTTTTGATTGAGATTGTAGTCCATCACGGCAGCGAACTTGGAGCAGGGACTACTTTACAACACACAGGGACCATGGGGAACAAAAGTAGCCCCCCTCCAGAAGGAAGGACAATGTCAGCACCAATTCAGAGATAATTTGAGGATCTACAGCTGAGTGATACACAAATAAGATACAGCTTTGATAATAGTTAAGGTGCTTGAAGACATCTTTAAGATTTAACTACTGAGTTTAGTGTCACTTTAAAGAGATTTCTAACCCTTCTCCGCTCTATCCAAAACTAAAAGAAAAGGCTTTAACTGAACGTAAACTTTATAACCACCTGACAGTCTAGTATCCCAGAGCACTCCAGGGATGATATCTCTCACTGTTAGGATCGGTCAGACCTTTACCCTATTTTATTATTTAAAGCATGTAAAACCTTACTTTTATTTAACTCTTAGTTGAATCGGTCCTAATTTAGTGGGGACAAACAGCAATATAAACTTGACAGAGGTTCTACCCTCTCAGATACACTATCTACAAAGAGGGTATTGGATACACCTTTTGTTGAAGTGAAGAACGGTTTAATATCCGGTCCCTTCCATAACTAATAGGTTCAAGCGGAGTGGATGATTGAGATACTAGATTGCAGATGTAAAACATTATACTTATAGGAATAGCGGGGCAGGGGAAAAAAGGAACTGAACTCCTAAAGCTTTACCCCAAAAAGGCACTCAGAGGGCAAATAACTAGTCACCAGTATTGCTTGTGGTCTCCCTGCAGCTGATCTTTCTTCATTACTGACTATGCCTTGTTCTGGGTCTCTGTATGGAGGCGGCCATCTTGGTAGAGGCAGGACTTTGCTTCCTCATGTCAGTGCCTCCAGCAAGGAGAACAGAGAGCAGCACTGTAGTGACATGTATAGGAGTGCCTTGGCACACTTGCATACCACAACTGCCCTGCTATTTTTCATGAGGAATTCAAGGGTACATATGTTCAGGGTACTGCCTTGGTACAATTAACAGGTCCAGATGTTCTCCTATAACATATTAAATCTTTCAGGTTCACTTTAAAGGCCGGCAGGACAAGTGGAGAGATTCACCCGAGGCAAGCAATAACTTTCATTTTCTAGCCATAGTCAGATTAGGCAGAGTCATGCTTTGAAAGACCTGAAATCTACTTACTAGAGACTTGTCAATGACGCAGAACATATAATTGTCATGCATAAGGATGTGTTTTGATCTCGAGGGGTTAAAGGTGATCCCAATGATAGGTGTGTCTCGTTCCAGCCACTCACGATGAAGGCCATGTTTGAGGACCTCATTGCCCCAGTCTGTGTACTGATTTTGAGCAATGTTAAACTCCAGCACCTATAAAGCAAGAAAAGTGTGTAAAAAGTAGACACACAACATGCGGGCTTTTTCAACAAACTGATACAAAGAGCAATGGTAATAGGCAAGGCGTAGCAACCAAATGTAGCCCCAGGTTCAGGTTTGCTGCTGTCTGATCAGCAGTAAAGCTGAATTTAGTGTTCAAATAATTATTACATTTTCAGACATATAGCGATAAAACTTTATTTTTAACATATATGCCAAATTATTGTCCAGGTTTTCTTATAGGGCAATAAAGCAACCCTGTACTAGCCCCTTAGGGCAAAATAACAGGTCCACTTAAGACCAGTGATGTTAAAGAGCTAATCATCCAGTTTATGAACAATACTCAAAAACTGTAAAACAAAAAACAAATAACGCAAAGAATGTGTTCCCTTTCAGGAAAGAACCTACCTGCTGGTCTGCATAAGCGATCACCAGGTTATTGGTGGACGGGTGGATACTTATTGCAGTCGGGGGAGAGTTATACTGGGGAACAGAGCACATATACTGCAGAACAAAGAAGGCATTCATTAGGAATGATTTCACTTCTAATGCTTATGTAACATCACAACACAAATCTGGACTGTTGTCCCCACCTACCTTTAAGTCTTTCACATTATAGATGTCAATTTGAGAATTAGTAGATGCTACCGCAAGTAGAGACCCATCTGCGCTGGCGGTCAGAAGGTGAACAGGATGTGAAGCTGTGGACACAGCGAACGTCTTGTTAATGTATTGTCATCAAATCCTTAAGCCACAATACCATGTTACAGCTTTCCAGTACACTTATTACAAGCTTAATATCTGGTCCTCCATCAGGAATATATCAATATCTAGTGCTCCTGTCTGCAGAACCATCTCAATATCTAGTTCACCTATGAACTATACCTGTAAAACCAACTCAATATATATACCTCCGGTCTGTAGATTCATCTCAATATCTTGACCTCATACCTGTAGAACCATCTCAATATCTAGTCCCATTGTCTGTAGATATGTCTCAATATCTAGTCCCATTGTCTGTAGATATGTCTCACTATCTAGTCCTCCATTAGAACCATCTCACTATCTAGTCCTCCATTAGAACCATCTCACTATCTAGTCCTCCATTGGAACCATCTCACTATCTAGTCCTCCATTGGAACCATCTCACTATCTAGTCCTCCATTGGAACCATCTCAATACCTAGTATTCCTGTAGATTCATTTTAATATCTATTCTTCTTTTCCATAGAACCATCCCAATATCCAGTCCTTCTGTCTGATTCTTATCAATATCTAGTCCACCTATCTGATAATTCTTCTCAACATCTAGTCTCCTGGTCTCTAGAAGCATCTTAATATGTTGTCCTCCTGCCTATAAAGTAATCTCTATTCCATAGAACCATCTTAAATCCAATCCTTCTGTCAGTAGATTCTTCTCAATATCTACTTCTCCTGGCTGTAGAACCATTAAATGTATAGCCTCTCCTGTCTGTAGATTAATTTTAACATCTAGTCCTCCTGTCCATATATTCATCCCAATATCATGTCTTCCATCCAGTAGAACCATTTAAATATCTAGACCTCCTGTCTATAGAACCATCCTAATATCTAGTCCTCCTATCTGTCGAATCATTATAGTTCACAGTCCTCATGTCTCCATAAAGCCAAATGAACAGCAGGTCCTTCTGTCGGTAGAACCACAACAGTTAGTTATAATGTCTTATCTAAACAGCTTGTCCTTTTAGTACCAACTGAATAACTAGTACACATCCCAAAACTCAGCAGCTAGTCCTATCTTCATCCACCTATAATTATTAAACTCTCAGTAGCAACAAATCTAGAAGTCCTCTTTGTGCAAACCTATGAGCCACGCCACTAACCTTATCAAGAAGTTATTTATATAATCCTTAGGGCCAGTTATACATCTATGTGCAGCCTTAGGATGGACAACCATTTAAATGTATAAAATCTCCTCTCACAATTTCTTCAGTATTTATCAGCTACAGTACCTGATGGTGGCTCTAGGGTGTGACTGTGCTGGCAGGTGCCTTTGGAAAGGCCCATAATATGAACGCATCCCCCTTCTGTTCCAACATACAGACGTTTGGAGTCAGGTGAAAACTTAAGGTGCAGCGCTGAGGTTGGTGGTTGGGCGAATTTAGGAACCTGCATAGTGGGATATAAAGTATTTTAAAATGGCATGGCAGA